TTTGGGGTGCCACCTTGCTGTCCCCGGTGGGGAAGATGACCCTGAGGACCTCCCGATCTTCTCGCATCTTCTCGAACTCCCGCTCCAGCTCGTTCTGGATGTGGGCGTTGGACAGAATGTCCTTCACCAGCTCCTCCTGCAGCGTCCGCCTCAGCGCCCGCTCGTTGGTGTAATCGAACTTGAACCTGAGGAGGGGGGACATCAAGGGGGGGGGCATCAGGGGATGGTGGGGACATCAATGTGGGGGCAACTCTGGGGGGGCACCACTCGGAGACCCCATAAAACCTCAAAATTGCACTCCAAGTTGAGGAGGAACCAACCAAGATGGGTCCAACTTTGGGGAGGAACCACCAAGTTGGGCAGGAGAACCTTGGGGACATCGATGTGGGGTCAACTCTGGGGGGGAACCACTCGGAGACCTCATAAAACCTCAAAATTGCACTCCAAGTTGAGGAGGAACCAACCAAGATGGGTCCAACTTTGGGGAGGAACCACCAAGTTGGGCAGGAGAACCTTGGGGACATCGATGTGGGGTCAACTCTGGGGGGGAACCACTCGGAGACCTCATAAAACCTCAAAATTGCACTCCAAGTTGAGGAGGAACCAACCAAGATGGGTCCAACTTTGGGGAGGAACCACCAAGATGGGCTCCAAGTTGGACAGGAGAACCTTGGGGACATCCCCGTGGGGGCAACTCTGGGGGGGAACCACTCAGAGACCCCATAAAACCTCAAAATTGCACCCCAAGATGAGGAGGAACCAACCGGGGACACCAAGATGGGCTCCAAGTTGGGCAGGAGAACCTTGAGGACACCAAGACATCACCCAATTGGGGGAGGAGAACCTTGGGGACATCCCCGTGGGGGCAACTCTGGGGGGGAACCACTCGGAGACCCCATAAAACCTCCTAGTTCTGCTCCAAGTTGAGGAGGAACCATCCCAAACCCCACTGAGATCCTCCTGGGACCTCCTGGAGACCCCATAGCAGCCCCCCAAGACCTCGTAGGGACCCCCAAGACCCTGGAGATGTTGATTATGGAGCCCTTGATCCCATAAACCACCACAGACCCCCAAGAACGCCCCACAGAGGCCTAGGAAACCCAACAAGAACCATCCCAAACCCCATTGAGATCCTCCTGGAATCTCCTGGAGACCCCACAGGAGCCCCCCAAGACCTCGTAGGGACCCCCAAGACCCTGGAGATGTTAATTATGGAACCCTTGGCCCCATCTAGTTCTGCTCCAAGTTGAGGAGGAACCATCCCAAACCCCACTGAGATCCTCCTGGGACCTCCTGGAGACCCCACAGGAGCCCCCCAAGACCCTGTAGGACCCCCCAAGACCCAGGAGATGTTAATTATGGAACCCTTGGCCCCATAAACCACCACAGACCCCCAAGTACACCCCATAGACGTCTACAGAACCCAACAGGAACCATCTCAAAGCCCATTGAGATCCTCCTGGGACCTCCTGGAGACCCCATAGCAGCCCCCCAAGACCTCGTAGGGACCCCCAAGACCCTGGAGATGTTGATTATGGAACCCTTGGCCCCAGAAACCACCACAGACCCCCAAGAACACCCCATAGATGTCTACAGAACCCAACAGGTACCATCTCAAACCCCATTGAGATCCTTCTGGAACCTCCTGAAGATCCCACAGGAGACCCCCAAGACCCCATAGAGCCCTCCAAGACCCTGGAGATGTTAATTATGGAGCCCTCGACCCCAGAGACCACCACCACCAGATGTCCCCTCCCACCCCACACCCGTGGGTCCAGGAAGGTTCCTTACTTCTTCTCGAAGGCCTTGTTGGAAGGTTTGAGGGTGGCCAAGTTCTGGAACTCCACGCTCTCCCCCGCCAGCCCGTCCTCCCCGTAGCGGAGCTGAACCACTTGGTTGATGGAATTGCGGACGGTGGCGTCGTACTTCACCATCACCGACTCCATGGACTTGATCAACCGCCGCTGGATGTACCCTGGGGTGGGGGGAGAAGGAGGAGATACGGGACACGTGGGTCACCTACGGCGATGGGGGGGCTCCAGGAGGTATCTAGGGAGGGTTTGGAGGTGTTGGAGGTATCTAAGGAGGGCTTGGGGGTGTTGGAGGCATCTAAAGATGGTTTGGAGGTCTCTAGGAGACATCTAAGGAGGGTTTGCAGGTCCTGGAGGCATCTAAGGAGGGTCTGGAGGTCTCTAGAAGGCATGTAGGAAGGGTTTGGAGGTCTCTAGGAGGCATCTAAAGAGGGTTTGGAGGTGCTGGAGGCATCTAAGGAGGGTTTGGAGGTCTCTAGGAGGCATCTAGGGAGGGTTTGGAGGTGTTGGAGGCATCTAAAGAGGGTTTGGAGGTCTCTAGGAGATATCTAGGGAGGGTTTGGAGGTGCTGGAGGCATCTAAGGAGGGTGTGGAGGTCTCTAGGAGGCATCTAGGGAGGGTTTGGAGGTGTTGGAGGCATCTAAAGAGGGTTTGGAGGTCTCTAGGAGATATCTAGGGAGGGTTTGGAGGTGCTGGAGGCATCTGGGGAGGGTTTGGGGGTCTCTAGGAGGCATCTAAGGAGGGTTTGGAGGTCTCTAGGAGACATCTAAGGAGGGTTTGGAGGTGCTGGAGGTATCTAGGGAGGGTTTGGAGGTGCTGGAGGTATCTGGGGAGGGTTTGGGGGTGTTGGAGGCATCTGGGGAGGGTTTGGAGATCTCTAGGAGGCATCTAGGGAGGGTTTGGGGGACCTGGAGAGCGTTGGGGCATCTCCATCGTGTGGAAGAACCTGGGGAGAACCTTCCAGCTCTTGGTGAAGCCCAGGAAGGTGTGGGGCGGGATTGTGTGGGGCGGGGAGGTAGTTATGGGGCTGCCCCACCTCGGCCATCTCCATGGTGATGTCCATGAGGCTCTCCCAGCCCCCCATGAGGTGAAGGAACCTCGGGGAGAACCCTCCAGCCCTTGGTGAACCCCAAGAAGGTGGTTCCAAGCCACTGCAAAGGCCGTGGGGAGGGATTGTGTGGGGCGGGGAGGTAGTTATGGGGCTGCCCCACCTCCAGCACCTTGAAAGTGATGTCCATGAGGCCCTCCCAGCCCCCCATGAGGTCAAGGAACCTCAGGAGAACCTCCCAGCTCTTGGTGAACCTCAAGAAGGTGGTTCCAAGCCACCCAGAAGGCTGTGGGGCGGGATTATGTGGGGCGGGGAGGTAGTTATGGGGCTGCCCCACCTCGGCCATCTCCATTGACATGTCCATGAGGCCCTCCCAGCCCCCCAGGAGGTCAAGGAACATTGGAAGAACCTTCCAGCTCTTGGTGAACCTCAAGAAGGTGGTTCCAAGCCACCCAGAAGGCTGTGGGGCGGGATTATGTGGGGCGGGGAGGTAGTTATGGGGCTGCCCCACCTCCAGCACCTTGAAAGTGATGTCCATGAGGCCCTCCCAGCCCCCCATGAGATGAAGGAACCTCAGGAGAACCCTCCAGCTCTTGGTGAACCCCAAGAAGGTGGTTCCAAGCCACTGCAAAGGCCGTGGGGCGGGATTGTGTGGGGCGGGGAGGTAGTTATGGGGCTGCCCCACCTCGGCCATCTCCATGGTGATGTCCATGAGGCCCTCCCAGCCCCCCATGAGATGAAGGAACCTCAGGAGAACCCTCCAGCTCTTGGTGAACCTCAAGAAGGTGGTTCCAAGCCACCCAGAAGGCTGTGGGGCGGGATTATGTGGGGCGGGGAGGTAGTTATGGGGCTGCCCCACCTCGGCCATCTCCATGGTGATGTCCATGAGGCTCTCCCAGCCCCCCATGAGATGAAGGAACCTCAGGGAGAACCCTCCAGCCCTTGGTGAACCCCAAGAAGGTGGTTCCAAGCCACTGCAAAGGCCGTGGGGAGGGATTGTGTGGGGCGGGGAGGTAGTTATGGGGCTGCCCCACCTCCAGCACCTTGAAAGTGATGTCCATGAGGCCCTCCCAGCCCCCCATGAGGTCAAGGAACCTCAGGAGAACCTCCCAGCTCTTGGTGAACCTCAAGAAGGTGGTTCCAAGGCACTCAGAAGGCCGTGGGTCGGGATTGTGTGGGGCGGGGAGGTAGTTATGGGGCTGCCCCACCTCGGCCATCTCCATTGACATGTCCATGAGGCCCTCCCAGCCCCCCAGGAGGTCAAGGAACATTGGAAGAACCTTCCAGCTCTTGGTGAACCTCAAGAAGGTGGTTCCAAGCCACCCAGAAGGCTGTGGGGCGGGATTATGTGGGGCGGGGAGGTAGTTATGGGGCTGCCCCACCTCGGCCATCTCCATGGTGATGTCCATGAGGCCCTCCCAGCCCCCCATGAGATGAAGGAACCTCAGGAGAACCCTCCAGCTCTTGGTGAACCCCAAGAAGGTGGTTCCAAGCCACTGCAAAGGCCGTGGGGCGGGATTGTGTGGGGCGGGGAGGTAGTTATGGGGCTGACCGGTCTCGGCCGTCTTGACGGCGGTGTCGATGAGGCCCTCGCGTCCCCCCATAGCGTGGAAGAAGAACTCGGTGGGGGTCAGCCCCGCCAGGTAGGAGTTCTCCACGAAGCCCCTGCTCTCGGGCCCATAATCGTCCTTGATGAAGTGGGGCAGGGTCCGGTGTTTGAAGCCGAAGGGGATGCGTTTGCCCTCCACGTTCTGCTGCCCCACAACCGCGATGACCTATGGGGAGACGTGGGGAGAGGTTGGGGGGAGAGCCTAGACCTCAGAAACACCAACCAGCCCCATAGAGAAGGTCCAGGGGGTCCGTGAGGAGCTCAGGAACGTCTGGGAGATGTTCATCTTGGAGGTCAACGGCATCGTGGACCATCGAGATGATCCATGGGGTGATTCCAGACCCATAGCGAGCCCCCCAGGCCCCATGGAGACCCCCAGATGATCACCCTGGTCCCACCGGGCCCCATAGAGAAGGTCCTGGGGGTCTGTGGGGAGCTCAGGAACGTCTGGGAGATGTTCAGCTTGGAGGTCAACGGCATCGTGGACCATCCAGATGATCCATGGGGTGATTCCAGACCCATAGAGAACCCCCCAGGCCCCATGGAGACCCCCAAGATCTGGGAGATGTTGATTATGGAGCCCTCGACCCCAGAGGCCACCACAGACCCCCAAGAACACCCCATAGATGTCTACAGAACCCAACAGGAACCATCATGAACCATCCCAAACCCCACTGAGATCCTCCTGGGTTCTCCTGGAGACCCCACAGGAGCCCCCCAAGACCCTGTAGGGACCCCCAACACCTGGGAGATGTTGATTATGGAGCCCTCAACCCCAGAGACCACCCCAGACCCCCAAGAACACCCCATAGATGTCTACAGAACCCAACAGGAACCATCTCAAACCCCACTGACATCCTCCTGGGATCTCCTGGAGATCCCACAGGAGCCCCCCAAAACCCCGTAGGACCCCCCAAGACCCAGAAGATGTTGTTTATGGAGCCCTCGACCCCAGAGACCACCACAGACCCCCAAGAGCACCCCAAAGAGGCCTAGAAAACCCAACAAGAACCATCATGAACCATCCCAAACCCCACTGAGATCCTCCTGGGACCTCCTGGAGACCCCACAGGAGCCCCCCAAGACGGCATCGTGGACCATCGAGATGATCCATGGGGTGATTCCAGACCCATAGCGAGCCCCCCAGGCCCCATGGAGACCCCCAGATCATCACCCTGGTCCCACCGGGCCCCATAGAGAAGGTCCTGGGGGTCCGTGAGGAGCCCAGGAACATCTGGGAGATGTTCATCTTGGAGGTCAACGGCATCGTGGACCATCCAGATGATCCATGGGGTGATTCCAGACCCATAGCGAGCCCCCCAGGCCCCATGGAGACCCCCAGATGATCACCCTGGTCCCACCGGGCCCCATAGAGAAGGTCCTGGGGGTCTGTGGGGAGCTCAGGAACGTCTGGGAGATGTTCAGCTTGGAGGTCAACGGCATCGTGGACCATCCAGATGATCCATGGGGTGATTCCAGACCCATAGCGAACCCCCCAGGCCCCATGGAGACCCCCAAGATCTGGGAGATGTTGATTATGGAGCCCTCGACCCCAGAGGCCACCACAGACCCCCAAGAACACCCCATAGATGTCTACAGAACCCAACAGGAACCATCATGAACCATCCCAAACCCCACTGAGATCCTCCTGGGTTCTCCTGGAGACCCCACAGGAGCCCCCCAAGACCCTGTAGGGACCCCCAACACCTGGGAGATGTTGATTATGGAGCCCTCAACCCCAGAGACCACCCCAGACCCCCAAGAACACCCCATAGATGTCTACAGAACCCAACAGGAACCATCTCAAACCCCACTGACATCCTCCTGGGATCTCCTGGAGATCCCACAGGAGCCCCCCAAAACCCCGTAGGACCCCCCAAGACCCAGAAGATGTTGTTTATGGAGCCCTCGACCCCAGAGACCACCACAGACCCCCAAGAGCACCCCAAAGAGGCCTAGAAAACCCAACAAGAACCATCATGAACCATCCCAAACCCCACTGAGATCCTCCTGGGATCTCCTGGAGACCCCACAGGAGCCCCCCAAAACCCCGTAGGACCCCCCAAGACCCAGGAGATGTTGATTATGGAGCCCTCGACCCCAGAGGCCACCACAGACCCACAAGAACACCCCACAGAGGCCTAGAAAACCCAACAGGAACCATCATGAACCATCGCAAACTCCACTGAGATCCTCCTGGGACCTCCTGGAGACCCCACAGGAGCCCCCCAAGACCCCTTCCAGACCCATAGCGAGCCCCCCAGGCCCCATGGAGACCCCCAGATGATCACCCTGGTCCCACCGGGCCCCATAGAGAAGGTCCTGGGGGTCTGTGGGGAGCTCAGGAACGTCTGGGAGATGTTCAGCTTGGAGGTCAACGGCATCGTGGACCATCCAGATGATCCATGGGGTGATTCCAGACCCATAGCGAACCCCCCAGGCCCCATGGAGACCCCCAAGATCTGGGAGATGTTGATTATGGAGCCCTCGACCCCAGAGGCCACCACAGACCCACAAGAACACCCCACAGAGGCCTAGAAAACCCAACAGGAACCATCATGAACCATCGCAAACTCCACTGAGATCCTCCTGGGACCTCCTGGAGACCCCACAGGAGCCCCCCAAGACCCCGTAGGACCCCCCAAGACTCAGGAGATGTTAATTATGGAACCCTTGGCCCCATAAATAACAACAGACCCCCAAGTACACCCCATAGATGTCTACAGAACCCAACAGGAACCATCCCAAACCCCACTGAGATCCTCCTGGGACCTCCTGGAGACCCCACAGGAGCCCCCCAAGACCTCGTAGAGCCCCCCAAGACCCTGGAGATGTTGATTATGGAGCCCTCAACACCAGAGACAACCACAGACCCCCAAGAACACCCCATAGATGTCTTCAAAACCATGGAGGAACCATCTCAAACCCCATTGAGATCCTCCTGGGACCTCCTAGAGACCCCACAGGAGCCCCCCAAGAGCCAGGAGATGTTAATTATGGAACCCTCGGCCCCATAAACCACCCCAGACCCCCAAGAACACCCCATAGATGTCTACAGAACCCAACAGGAACCATCTCAAACCCCACTGAGATCCTCCTGGGACCTCCTAGAGACCCCACAGGAGCCCCCCAAGACCCTGTAGGGACCCCCAACACCTGGGAGATGTTGATTATGGAGCCCTCAACCCCAGAGACCACCCCAGACCCCCAAGAACACCCCATAGATGTCTACAGAACCCAACAGGAACCATCATGAACCATCTCAAACCCCATTGAGATCCTCCTGGGACCTCCTAGAGACCCCACAGGAGCCCCCCAAGACCCTGTAGGGCCCCCCAACACCTGGGAGATGTTGATTATGGAGCCCTTGACCCCAGAGACCACCACAGACCCCCAAGTACACCCCATAGATGTCTACAGAACCCAACAGGAACCATCTCAAACCCCACTGAGATCCTCCTGGGACCTCCTGGAGACCCCACAGGAGCCCCCCAAAACCCCGTAGGACCCCCCCAAGACTCAGGAGATGTTGATTATGGAGCCCTTGACCCCAGAGGCCACCACAGACTCCCAAGAACACCCCACAGAGGCCTAGAAAACCCAACAAGAACCATCATGAACCATCTCAAACCCCACCGAGATCCTCCTTGGACCTCCTGGAGACCCCACAGGAGCCCCCCAAACCCCCGTAGGACCCCCCAATACCTGAGAGATGTTAATTTTGGAGCCCTTTGCCCCAGAGACCACCATGGACTTGAAGTTGTTGTACTCGGAGAGGGATTTTTGGGCGGAAGAACCCGTTTTGTCCCGGGCGTCGTTGAGGATCCTGTTGACCTGGTTCTCGAAGGTCTGACGCAGGGTGTTCCCCGGGGTGGGCTCCAACTCGTTGTTGTGGGCCTTCTCGATCACCTGGCACCCCACGGGACCCCCAAGTGGGTCAGAGGGGTACCCCAAAATCCTTGAGGAGCCCCCCCAAACCTTGAAGAGCACCCCCAAAACCTTGAGGAGCCCCCAACCCACCACCAAGAGAGTCGTGGAGAACCTCAAATCCAACCCAACGGCCCCCAAGATCCCCCAAACCCCCCAAAAGAACCCCAAATCTCAACCAGGGGAACCCCCAAAAACCTTGAGGGCCCCCCAAAACCTCGAGGGGACCCCCCCAAATCTTGAGGAGCCCCCCCAAAACCTTGAGGAGCTCCCAACCCACCACCAAGAGAGTCGTGGAGAACCTCAAATCCACCCCAACGGCCAACAAGATCACCCAAACCCCCCAAA